ATTATTATCATTATTATTATTATCATTATTATTATTATCATTATTATTTTTATCATCATTATAATCGTTATTATTATCACTTATTATTATCAGTTATTATTATTATTGTTATTATTTTTATTGTTGTGCAAATTCCCTTTCCTTTTTTTCTTCATCTTTCTTCTTTATATTGAAAAACTGCAAAAACAAAAATTTTTACTTTGAGAAATTTTCCATTTTATGCCATATTTTTACAATGTTAGAACTGAATTTTTATTTCGAAATTTACAGTTACAGTTTTGTAAGAAAATATGGAATTGCAAACGGTCGTCTTATTGGGATAAACTCTTCGTGGTGATAATTGTTCTCATCAGTTACACTTCATCTTACTCTTAAATATTCCTACGGATTCAATCTGTTTCCAAATCTCTGCATATCGTATAACTTAGGGTTCTTTTCCCTATTCTTTGCCCTGCGCACGTACTTCCATACTTTCTATCGTTTCGCCCGAAATTATCTTTCGCTGGTTTGAAATCAGGATTTTAGGAAAAGATAACTACTTTTCCTAAAATGCTTTTCTTACTGATTTCCAGTATTTCCATTCATGCTGCTTTTTTTTGAAATTTATGTGATGCTTATGACTGGCTGCTATATTTTTTTAGGCATGTGTATGTTGTATGTCTGACTTGTGTGTGTGTGTGTGTGTGTGTGTGTGTGTTTATTTGTGTGTGTTTATTTGTGTGTATGCGTATGTGAACATACAAAAATTGTAGGAAAACTTACGTAGAATTATTTTTGTGCAATTATTAAATTTATATACTTTTGTAAATTGAAATAAAAAAAAATTTTTACGTATGTTTTCAAATATCAAAGGTGATTTGTAAGAGGAAATCTCTTTCTTAAACTTCATCTAAGTCCATTTATTTTATTTTTGTCGAACCGTTGAATTTTCACTTTATTGTCTCTTCGTTTCTAAAGGGGAAATTTTTATTGTATTATTTGTAGGTGATGTATGTATGTATGTATGTGTTTATGTGTATGTTTGTGTGTGTATTTTATGAGGAAATTTTTTTTACACTTTTCCAATCGATAATTTTGTTTTTACAAAATTCGTTTGGTATTCTTTATTTTTTTCAGTTTTTATACTGTTCTTTCAGTTGATTTTCTTGTCCTCTTTTTTAGCTTTTATAGATTTGTTTTATGACGTGTACATGTCTTGATTTTTTTTTCACAAATTTTGTTTTTCTTTTTTTGAAAAAAAATTGGACGAAAAAAGATTTGAGAGATTATTTTATTCATGTGTATATACATATGTACTTTTTTCTTTAAAAAAAAAGCCTGTTACAAAGATAAAAATTAACAGTACGATTGCTTAAATAGAAAAAAATCGGCAATGTTTACACATATGAATTATATGATGATGTTTAAATTGTAACATATTTAAAATTAATGACCTCATATGGTTGACTTTTTGATTATTATAGTAATATAAAACTTTTGAAATTTTCAGTGAAGATAACAATTTTGAATCACTGAGATATAACAAATAATAATGAGGAAAACGTTATGAAACAGAACGGCGGATTGATAGTTCGATTTCAAACTATCATTTGGATATTTATGATTGATATATGCGTATTTCTTATTCTATTTAATTTTAAGCTTTATTGAATGAAATTTTTTGCTGAAATTTCTCTCATAAAAGAAGTGTTATTATGGGTGATTCTTTTCATGCCTAATTTTGTTTTATACAAATAAATGCTTTTTGTAAAATTTTCATAGCAATTATTTTAAAATTTGATTTTTTTACTAATTTTTACCGATTGCATTTTCTCTAATTGCCTTTGACAAATTTAAGTTTTATATTAACAATTGGCGTTGAATTTGAATTTAAAAATAAAAGTGGCAGTTGCATATAAGTTCAAATTTTAATTGTAGGAAATATTCTGATGCCAATTTTATTCAAAATTTTGCAATGACATTATATTTTTTCTGATAAATACAGATAGGAATTAATGAAATGGGAAATCCCTCTTGTCAGAATATAATTGGTTTATGCATTTAGAAATCAATTTACTGTAAAATTCACAAATGCTCCAAATCTGACAAGAGTTTGAGGGTAATAATGGTAGCGATAATGATAGCAAGAATGGTTATCTTTGCAATCAGCAAGTCAGTTATCATTTTACATTATCTCAAAAGAATTGATTTCGGATTTTTCAGTTTCATTTCGATTTTTGTAATTTCTAAATTTCTGTGATAGAAAACTTTAATGCATTTAGTGTTAAAGAAAGTCGGATAATAATTTCTGAAATGCCTGCGATGTGGTTTTTTTTACATAACTTTCAAAGCATTTTATGTTCAATTATTCTGTTCAAAATATATAAATTAGACCGAATTTCAGGTTCATTACTTTAAATTTGAAATATAAAATATATTCCTCGATTAAGTTTAATCTTTGCTAAATTGATAACTGGAAAAAATGATGGTTGTAATAAATTTTATATACAATTTTAATCATTTTTCGTTTTAAATTATTTGAACCTGAAAATTTCTATGATGTCTGCTTAAGGAATACGTTAATCAAATTCCAGTAATAATGTGCATCCGCTTCCGTGTTTGTAAAATTCCGTCAGCGGTTTGTAACGATTCTGATCATATGGCAATTCACGTACTTTTTTGCCATCAGGAAATAAAAACAAACGTCCATAATCACTATCACTAAAATTAAAAGCTTACAAATAATTATTTATAATTTGGTAGTAACGAAGGTAAAAAGATTTAACAAATTTGTACAAATAAATCGAGAAAAAAAAATATATATCAAAAAAATTAAAATTCTTTAAGTTTAATTTTCGCTAAATTGAAAGGTATTACTATTAATTAAATCTCGTATTATGTAATTAAAAGTAAAGCTTTGGTATATTTTATATTATATCAAATATTTAACTTTTATTTGCTACATTCAATATGTGACCTTTGAAAGAAAATGTTGCGTAACATACACGAAAAGACGTGAAAACAATTTTGTAAGTGACTTACAGTGATGAAATTGATGTGTTACGAAGTAAAAATTTTAATGCATCAATTAAGGTCGATGAGATCATCACTTTATCAGTGGTAACATTTTCCGTTGTTTCATTATTGTTTTTATAATGTCGAATGATTAATTTCAATTCAACCATAAAATTACGATGTTCTTTTAATTTTATTACATTTCTCTGAAATTTCCCACAAAAATTATTTAAAAAAAATTCCGTTTTCATAAAAAGAAATGATCCATAGTATCTTTTATTTAGTACTTTTATTTAGTATTATATTTAATGAAAAATAGTACAATTTAACTAATTTTCCACAGAAGCTTTTTTTTGTTCACTGATATCTAAATGAATTACATGATTGCATTTTCGATGAATGCTCATTTTTCCATATTTTTTTATGGATTAAATTTTTATCATACATCTCTCCGTTACTATTTTTTAATACCGTTTATATTTATCAAATTATTAATTCAAAATTCTAAACTAGTTATTCAAATATTTCAACCAATTTGTTTCATCATAATTTTACTAATTTTAATTATTCAACCATCAAACAGTTAGTTTATCTGTTTATCATTTGTAATTATGATATATTATCTACTTTTTTTTCAGTTCTCCTTTTCATGCTTCCTTCTTTATAATAATCCATCTCTTCTATTTTTTAATCATATCGATAATTTACCGAATTTTTGTATCGCATATTGTCATTATCAGCTGATCGCTCATAGTTATCCAAATTATCATAGGCTAAAAAAATGCATTTGAGCTATAAAAAAATCATATTCAAAAATTTTTAATTTCTGGTCCTGATTTTTTTTTGAAATTTATCGCATATTTTGATCTGATATGAAAATGGAATTGTTTTCTTTACTAGAAAATTACTAAACAAATAATGGGAAATTTTAAGATAGATAATGAATGCAAAAAATTATAAACTTTTTCAACGTAAAAGAAAAAAATTAAACCTTGATTTTTTGTTTCATCATTTTTCGTTTTCATGCGCATTTTTTGCTCGAATTTAGAATGCTTAAAATGTTTTTTCTTAATCAGCTAATAATTTCTGAATGTTTATGGATTAATCAATATTTTTCATTCTTTTATCATTTAAATGATCGAAATAATTTTCCTAATATCTAAATAAGATTTAATCTTTCAATCAG